TTCTATGGGCCTAAACATCGACCAAAAAGATGTCGAGTGGAGAAACTCTATTTCTACTAACCTATAGATCGAAGGCTATAATTCCAATAAAAATCAATTGCCATAATCATCAAATACAAAATTTTTAATGAGAACAAACAAATAAGAAATAAGGGTCGATCTAGATCTATCGAAGAAAAATATCTAACTTTTTATAAGAAATAAAACTTATAGATAGACATTTCAATATTATAATGCACGACTTGAGAACATGCATTTCTATATCATAGGTCTTGTTAAAATAAAACTAAAGGCTATTGAAAATGAAAAAAGAAAGGGGAAATTGGCACCTAAATAGGACGGATATCGAGAATCATCAAGGATAACACTTATAATCTATAAGATATATGTGCAAAGAATATGACCCGTGCATGGCACTCAATCATTTAAAAATGTATTATTAATAAATTCAAGCTATGATACAAATAAAAGCCTTTGTTAAACATCCTTTATTTGTGCTAATCTTTCAAAATTAAAATCTATGAATACCTAAGAAAAGAAATGACATGTGTGTTAGTGTAGGTGCTTAAGATCTAACCTTATTTGAATGATTTAATTTAATGTATTATCGTATTTTTATTGATTAATAAAATAAGTTTTTTTTATTAATTTTTGTTGTTTATAATTTGATTGAATTACATAGAAATCCATATGATATGCATTACATTAATGATTGATCAATTAATATGAGATAAATATTAATACACTTAAATGATATCATTAAATATCTCAAGTTAGTAGCATTGTCAAGAATGAATATTGATTATATGCGGTAAGACTTGTGAGTGCTATGCTTATGCTATAAGATAATAGTAGGAGATCTCACATAAATTGACATGGTAATGCCAAAACGAGTACTTAGGTGATAAATGTTAGAGAACATATCACTATATGTGAATCGCCATGAGAACCCATTTGGTTTAGTTTATGAGAATTTTGTATAAGTTCGATACAATTGGTCCTTTGACTTGAAGTCATCATAGTTATCTCATTAGAGGATTTATGTGCTTTGACACTAGTTTTGATAGGCTCGATCAAGAGTTGTATGTAGGTGATTTATTAGGTGCATTAGAAATCTAATGTAGATAGGTGGATGACTAAGATAGGACATATCATTCCTTATATGCTAAAGGAGTTATCACATTATACTTTGATGAATGTATGCTCAAGGAATCCGTGATCACAGTAGGAGTATATCAATATAGCATAGTTAGTTTACTCGGAGCTAAAATATTTAAGAATAAAAAAAAACTTATGTGATCATAATCAAGTAGACTTTAAATCAAGTTTAAGATCACACCGTGATAAATTGACATAGGAACCGAATTGTATGGTAACCATGCTCGTGAAAGGTAATTGCGAATTAATTAATCCTTATAGAGAATTGAGTAGTCATAATGTCTTGCTAGATGTCAATCTTGATTTATGTATCAAGAAATAAAAGAGATATCTTTTATTCTTGATACATTGCCAACATATATAGGAACCTATCGAGTTACACGCATAAGTTTAAATATTCATATAATAAAAGAGAAGTGAAGATTTTGAAAAACGTCTCTAGTTTTAAAAGTTTTCTAAAAGTTTTCTATTTTAGAAAAAGTTTTTTATTTTAGAAATCAGTTTCCTAACTTGAAAGTCGATTACCTAAAAGGAAAAATTAGATTTCCAATTTAGGTTTAAGGATAATTTAGAAATTGTTTCCTAATATGGGCTTCCTTAAAAATATCTCATCTAATTTATTTAAATGGTCCAAATCAATTAGGTCAAAAGAGTTTGGGCTAATAGGCTTAATTTAAAAGTTTGTAAGATACTTTAATGGAAGGATAAACTTGAGCATTATTGAATAAGGCTCGAGTTTACAAAGATAAGATCAAACAAGCCCATACATGTTGTAACTCCTCCTTGTCCTCGGAGGACAATGATGCCACCCCTTTATATAAATAAAGAGAAAGAGAGGCGACAAGAATAGGTTAAAAGAAAGGCAACAAGAATAGTTTAATAAAAATAGATATATGGCAACAAGAAAAAGAAAAAGAGAAAAACATTTTCTCTTAAAAAACCGAGTCGTCGCACATACCTCTCTCTCAGAGTTGTCGCTCATACCTTTCTCTCTAGGTTCGTCGTAAAAAACCTAATTGATTTCTTAAGAGAACAAATTAACTACACGTAAGGATTGCAACTAGCACTCTGTGATTTTTGTAGCTTTTTTTTTATGGATGTTTAAGCTGCGTGGGTAATCAATAAAGGTCGAACACTAGGACGGTTTTCTTTTTGTTTAATTGTTTTTTACGTTACAAGAGGTAATCTTTTATTCATATTAATATTCATATTATCGTATGATTAGTTGATTTAACAACATGATCTTGGGAACCCTAGATGAAGAAGTTTTTTTATTTTATTTCGTACGTCCATATGATGCATGATCTTTCAATGTGATTTAACTCTCGATCATTTTGGAAGTAATACATACACCTCTTTAAGCTCTCATGAAGGAAAAATCAACGACCCCTTATCGGAGTAGATTGCCTAAAGGGATATTTAAATTTCAAATGCTAATCAAGTCTTTGTTATGATAATAACCAAAGACTTTGAAGGACAATTGATATATTGGAGAAAACAATGAGTCTTTTGAAATGATACGTAAGAAATAAAATCCAACCTCCATAACCATACCTAGCCTAGAATTTAGAGTTCTAGCAGCTTTATCTTGGAAGACCTAGATACATCATCCGGAGTTGGTTTAAGGTGTTCTCCCATGAGTCACAATCAATCAAAGAAACAAAAAGTGCATTCATTAAATTAAGACATGCCCTCTAAATTGTCTTAGTCCCTACAACTACAACTTTAAAGGCACTCCAATCATTTAATGATGAATGGTCAACACTTCAAAGGCAGATATCCCTCAAGTGGATGTCGAGACCGTTGACTAAAAAAAAAAAAAACCGTGCTACTCTTACCGTAAGCAAATTAATCACACCTTCTCTTATATAAATGATATCAACTCAAAGATTACAAATTCCGCATTATAAGTATTTAATCTTTTTATAGCCTACTCAAGTTAAATACCTCTTTCTATATGCTAACTTAGACATCGAATGTCCTTTATCCATCGAAAGAGAATTTGTTTTGTAGGTATGTTATTGAATTCATATCTATTATGCTAAAACCACCACGCGATTATTCTAAATTGAAAGCAACCTCATCAATAATCATTATCTAAAAGTCAAGATCTCATCACCAATAATGGTGAATTTGATAATTCATAAATGAATCCGAGTTTGGATGATATTGTTATACTTATGGTGAGATGGTGTTATTAATGGGATGGTAAAAGATAGTCGGTAAATGCAATTGAGATGTTTCAAAGAGATTAATGGTTTCGTAAAATAAGGAGGTTTGATGAGTGTGGTTACTTGTAATTTCATTTTCTTTTTCAATTTTCATCTAATTTTCTTTTATGATACTTTTTATTTTTTGATTAAGCACAAGTGAGATCTCCTTTTTGTCATGCATTGTTCTATTGTGTTATGTGTCAATTATCTTGAACCACGTTAGTATTTTTTATTCTCAAATGATTAAATTATTTAAATAGAAAAATAAAAAATTTGACTCTCAAATTATAGTTTTATAATAAATATATAAAAGGGTCCGAATAAGGAGTAAATTGTTTTGAATTAGATGGGTGCAAGTCTCACGGTGGTGGTTGTGGCACGAATGACCGAACTAATCACCAATATCCACATTTTGCCATGAATAAGTGTGTTTGCCACCTTCAAATATAGTACTCCAAGTAGTAATATTAATTGGTGGGGTAAAACTATAATGGAGGTACTTTCCATTGTCTACAATTGCATCTTATTGGGATTCCAAAATTTAATAAAGGGCCTTCCCCGCAATATCTGCAGATCATCACATTCAATATCAACAAACCAGGAGCCAGCATTACTTATCAGTGATGATCAGATAAAATGAGATTCTGAAGATAATAAATCCTGCATCATTACTTATTTGGCAAGTTACAAATGTAAGATTGAGACCAAATTGGATTGGACTAACACATGTGATTTTGGTTTTATCTTCTATATATTCTTTAGGTTGGAACACACTGATAACAATGCCACAACCCCTATATGCACATGCACATGCATGTTAGGATTAGGTTGCTAGATACACGGCCACAAAAGCTTAGCCGAAAGGCAACAAAGTTACATGTGAAAGCATGAGCATGTTTGTCTGGTAAGCACAGCCACAATGCGTGCCATCCATGTGGCATACAATTGTTAATTTTCCAATTCCCATCATTCAACAGTATGCTTAGTTAGTTATAAGCTCATCATTAGGTGATAAATATAATCCACTAACTGAAAACATTTCAATACATGAGGATGTGGTAGACATTCGAGAAGAGCCGTCCTTCTATGATGCTATGTTTTGAGTTGCTGTCAGCATCCGAGGCAACATTGACAATATGAGAGAAATATTCCAATTATGCATTCTTTATAGGTTAAACAGCATATAATGCCAATAAAGAATGAAGACCACGACATCCTTGTATCTGAATTATGAGATGTGCTTGAAATGCAGCTATATGAGAACATCTAATGTTCTCTATCTGCTTTAACTGCCATTGTCAGGCTCTCACCAATGATAATGCTACTGGGTGGATAAGTGCAGCTCATGTCAAACAAGAAAACGAACTTAACGTAACACGACATTGATGGTTATAGGACCTTTATTTCTACTGCAATCCGGCCAAGCAAATTGGAGATAAAAGGTTGGAATAGAAGGCGAATAGAAACATGTGTCAAAACTCAGAATGAAGACATATCTTGCACAGTGAAATGACATGGAAGAATGGGTTTAATGTTGATTGGTTGTTACATTTAGTGCTCTTCCTACACTGATTTCTAAGGCACCTCTTGGCAGCAACACCAGAAATAAAAGTCTTAAATCCATTTTCTTCAAGGGCGCTCTTTCAAATCACCTAATCTGTTATTAGCCAGAGGAACATGTTAGTGCCAATTTGACCTTTTATTGCCAAAATGATCTCTTAAAAAAAAGGCAACAAAAAAAAACATGGACAGAAAATGCAACAACTCAAGGCAGTTGAGATCATACGTGAAGAGAGGGTCAGCTACACAGAATAAAACAGCAAAGGAAGTAAAAACTACGTACTGCCATTCAAAATGGTTTTAAAAAGCACGACAATATTCCAGGCACAAAAGTGCACCATAACCTTCCTTGAAAATGCCAAAAAATGGGCCTTATGTACCACTAATAAGACTCCCTTCAAATTCCGTGTGACTGCAAGTTGACTTCAGATTATCTAATTCATTAAGCCTCTGAGTTTACGTACCTTTGAAATCTAATGGTTCTGTATATGAGCATAATTGCGAACAACACGGGAATTGCTGCTGAGCTCAAGTGCTCCAAGGAGTGACCGCTGATAAGGTAGCGATTTGCATTGTATATTTTCTTGTCAAGAACAGCCAAAAACTTGGCTAAAAGGGAAACACCTGTAGCCCAAGGTGTGAAGATTTAGAAATAGATGAGCATGAAAAAAGAAAGAAAAAAAAAGCTACCAAAACTCACAACTATATTGAGTTCTTCTAAGTACGCAATATTTGTAACTAAAAGGCATATAGAACAAGCAAATTTTGCATACAGTTTTGCTTAGAAGGATGCATATCCAAACACTCTGTCTGTCCTATCACTTGTCATCATAACAAGAGAGAAAAATCTTCAGGTAGTTTGGAATATCTCATTTATCTTCCCCAAATAGCTTCACTTATAGAACAAGCAAATTTTGTCTAAGTGATGTTCAAAAGGTCAAAACTATTCATCTCAGTGAGAGATAACTGCCCATACACCACTAAAAAGATGAAATACAAGCATCAAGCAAATATCCAACAAATCTAATTTAAACTTAATTCAATCAAACACCAAACAACTAGAACAGCTCCACTTGAACCATGTTAATATACCTTTTTTTTATATTCATAACGATTAATAACATGGCTAATTACTACTGCAGATCAAATGCATTGCTTTTGACCTTATCTTTTTCCTAGGATGCAAGTAAGGTATTCTACATGCATTTGAAACTAACATTAACCAAACACAGAACGACACGAAAATAAAAGTCAACATAAGAAGTTCAGAAGGCAGACTGACTACCAAAATATTTTGCCACAGAGATGTACTAAGAAAAGAATGCTAGGGAAAATAAGAGGATATTAGTTGAGAACATGGCATGGGAGGATAATTTCATATAATTTGTTCTGCTATAACCAGAAATTTTTATCAACACTTCAAACCTGAAGATGTGGACACAGGGAGATAAGAGCGAATGAGAAAGCAAGCTTTATTTCATTGGATATAAATCATCCACAGGCTGGATTGTAGTATGTGTTGTTGTTTTAATGCTGGTAGACTTCGGTTGTGAATGATATTATTAGTTTATTACTGATCACAAAAGAACATAGCTTTTATTATACACATATCCCTTCAACAAAAGATCAGATTTCCAGAATTCTCCTACTCCTTAATAGATAAATATTCTTATAGCTTCATTGAATTGCTCATCTACAAATCTCTCATTACACTCAATTTACACAAAAATCATGAAATGGTGTTGTCTTCTGAATCAATAAAAATGATGGCACTTAAACACGTTGCATAGATCGATTGAGTTGCTTAATTACCAATATTTCATTTCACTCTATTTGCACAAAGATCATGAAATGTAGGTATTTTGTAATGAAATACACAGATGCACCTTAAATGAGTTGCATTCTTTAATAACTAAGAATAATAATTACAAAAAGACTGATGAGCATCAGATACCTGCTGCCCAAAGCCAATATCTTGAATGCGTATATTTGGGTGGGTACAAAAATGTCATGGCCGGTATAGCTATGCATGGAATCAACTGGAACATCATGCACAATCGAAGATCGTTAAATGTTCTGCAACCAACTAGCAAGTAGCAACTCATGTTCAGCAGAAAACTTGAGATATTCCTTAACATAAGAGATAAAATCAACTAAACAAATGGTCAACATCGAAGCCAGGAAGTAAACCAACCTTGCATAAACTGTGCTAAGTAAAACAGCGAATAGTAATCCAAACAAACAACTCAATCCAGCCCTTTGCCCTACTCTCTCAGCCATGAAACTAGAGAAAAGCGAAGAGCATGCTATCATCATCTGCATTTAGAAATGCGCATTAAGAAATTGATTAACAAAAACATCTCATATAAACCAAAAACAAGTGGTGATAAAAAAAAAAAAAAAGAGCTGGTAAACACAAATGGTTAGAGAACACTGATATACTCTAATTCCCTTTCCTTTCATACATGTTGCTTACAACAGAAACAGAGGGGAAAAAAAAAGACAATTGTGAAGCAAAATGGTAATGCTAACCGGTAAGGTATCCCACATTACTCTACCGTCGTCAGGCTTGAGATGATAATAAGCAGAACCAAAAGCCAAACACACTATTCCACCGTAAAATAGTGCCCAACCCCAAACCTCTCCTTTCAAACTGTAGCAACAAACCACAAAAACTTCATTAAACAACCAAAAGAACTCTCTCACACACACACACCAACAACCATCAATACTAAAACTACCTTATGTTAAAAAAGCATCCTTGAAGAGAAAGCACAAACCCCACAACACCAACAACCAAAAAAGGGAAATTGGTGATCACATTCAAAGTATTAGGCACTCCTGCATCACAAAAGAAGAAACAAAAAAAATTCAAACCCACATAGTAAAATCAAGTGAATGATCAAAAGAGATAACAAAGTTACAAACTTTATATCGAAAAATCAAACATACCAAGGAAATTTCGCATGTCAGCAAAATGATGAGGTTTGTGAGATAAAGTGATTTTAGGAGTGACTAACATGAAACAAAACCAACACAATAATGCTCCTAACCATATGTGACTTCTCTTCCCTTTCCCTATTTGCATCTGCTTATTTACCATCCACACCATCTCTTTCTCTAAAGTTGTCTCCTTTTTTTGGCTTTCTTTCTCGTTCAAAAGATATGCGTCTGTTTCATGACACTGTCGTTAGATTGCTTCCATTAACGACATTCGGATTTCGGAGGAATTTGAGAAAAGAGTACGAGCAGCAGACAATAAATGACACAATACGATGTTATTTTTCAAGCTTCTGCCAGATGTTTTGCAGACGACTTGTGGTTTTTGACAACAACAGCAACAACTTGGACTTTGGATTCGAATTTTCGTCTCCACAAGAACGACTCGTTGCTTGAAGTCTATTGATTTGCATTTGAGTAAGGCCCATTTTGAAATTTGATCGGTTTCTTAAGAAAATAGGCCCAAGACTCAGCAGAAGAACAGTGCCATAAAACACCGGTGGTACTACCCAAAACATTGTTCAACGGCAAAAATTAACCCCAATTATTAAATTATGACGATTTAAAATTTTTATTATTAATTTAGATTTTTTATTTTAAAATATTATTTTAAAACAAATATTATCATTTTTCTATTATTTTTAACGAATCAAATCGTTAACCGTTAACTTGAATGCTTAAACAATATTGTTTAAACATTCCTTTTTTTTTTTTTTTTGTTTAGTGGCTAAAATTACATCCAAAATATTAGGATTATAATAATTTAAGATATTTATTATCAATTTGGATCATTTGAATCTTAAAATATTATTTTTTTAATAAAATGTTATTCTTTCTTTATTATTTTTAACGATCATAGTGTTGATCTTTAACTTAAATGCTTAAATTTCTCTATTATTTTTAACAGATCATAACGTTGATTTTTAACTTGAATGCTTAAATGACGTCATTTAAGCATATTTTTTTTTACGAAAAAAATAATTTAAAATAATAATAATAATGGTTAATACGAATGACATGTCATCCTAATATAAATGATTATATGTCATATTCATGCAGAATTAAAATCAACTAAATTAAATGAACTAGATATAAAGAGAGAGACCGCAATATTAAAGTGTTATTGGAATTACCTTAGAATTTATACTTTCTTATAATATTATTTCGAGCTCGATTCAACAAAAAACAAAGGGAAAATGAGACTTGAATCGAGCCAAAAATGTTGTTATAAGAAAGTATAAACTCTATAAATAATTCCAATAATACTTTAATAATACAACCTCTCTCTTTTTATTCAGTTCAATTAATTTAGTTGATTTAATGATGTCTTAAAAAAAGATATGTCCTCATATATTAAGACGATATATCATCCGTATTAACCATTGATAATGGACATTATTGATTATATTCATTCTCTTATATTTAGTCTTTTTTATATGTTTTTAGGTTATATATGCTAAATAATGTTTATTCTGTGACTTAAGAGAATATTAGAGGCAAATGACCAAAAGTGTGCTCGATTTAGGCGAAATTCTAATGCCGGCAAATTTGCATTTAGAGAAATATATGAGAATTTCATACCTTTAGACCTTCCGAATGTAAAAGAAGTTTTCTTGAAATTTGAAGTGTACATCCAAAAATTTTCAAGTTACGTTTAAACGTATAAATCTAATTTGTTGTGGGCTATCAAAATCGGTTACAAGGTCGAGAAAAAATTTGAATCTCATGATAGTTTGGAATACCGATAAGTGTTTGGACTATATATGGAGTTCTACAGATTGAATTAAGATGACTCAAAAGTCTACAAAAATAAGCCATCCATGTCTACAACTCTCATGAGAGTCTAAGTCCAAAATCAACTCGCCTTATAATCTTAAATCAGCTCAAAATTTTCAATATGAAATTAAAAGTCTCATTCAAGAACAAGTCCTAATTAATTTTAAAAATAATCCTAAATAGAACTTGTGAGTTGTCATTCTTATCTCTACACATGTATAAATAGCCTCTAGGATTACACAAATGGAGCACACACTCATTCATATAATTTAGGGCTTTATATGCTACGTTATGTCTAACTAAATTTTTTAATTAAGCTCAAGAGATTTCAACTTCAGTTCACACAAGATTGATCTTTAAATTATTCCTTATGATTTAGGTATCCATTATTTTTTGAATTTAATTAATTGATCTTTGAATGTAATTAATTATGATTGTATAGATGATTGTCTAAAGAGCCTATTAGTGGATTTTCTCGTTATAAGTGATAGCTAGCTAATTTTCTTAATCCGTAATTATTATAAAAAAGTTAGTACCAGTAGAAATTTAGGTTTTCATAATTATGATCTCGGTTTTCATGACTACGTAAGAGAAATAGAGAATGAATTAAATGATTTAGGCATCCTAAACTTGTTGTTAAGTCTTAACTTCTTCCTAATTTGTAATATTAATTGTTTAATACCGAAATCAATTGTTAATAAAAATTTAATTTAGATGCTAGATTTGAATTAATAAATAAAGAAAGGATTTAGATTTATTATAGTAGTCTAGGTAAGTATAGACTAAGTATCCAATGAGAGGATAGTAATTTAGGTATTTATGATTAATTTGTGAGGATAGTAATTTAGGTATTTATAATTAATTTGTGAATCAAATGTGCGATTTCTCTTTACACTAAAGTTTTTCTAAATGAAATGATTAATTTAGGTAAGTATAGACTCAAGTATTCAATGAGAGGATAGTAATTTAGGTATTTATGATTAATTTGTGAATCAAATGTGCGATTTCTCTTTAAACCGAAGTTTTTCTAAATTGAATCTACATTATTTATAATTTTGGCTTTGCAAACAAACAACCCCCAACCCAATCCGAGTAAACCGAACTGATCATCGAGTCTCTACGATTTGACTCGAATTTTCTATTGCTATAAAAAATGATAAGAACAATAATAATTTAAAATTTGGTGAGTTTGTCATCCATCAACCATCATAATATATTTTCTTTTTCACAAAAAAAAAAGGGTCATTTAAGCATTAAAATTAAAGTCAACATTTTGTTAGTCAAAGATAAGAGAAAAAGAATAATATGTTTCCAAAAAATAATAGTTTAGGGTTCAAATGACTCAAATTAATAGTAAAAGTCTTAAACTACCATAACTTCAATAGTTTTGGGGTAATATTTTCTTATTTATTCCAATAGAATTACAGATCACTTCATAAATTTAGGATAAAAAAAAAAGAAAAAGAAATATCTCTTTAGTTCAAACCATATTTAGGTACATGATAATTATCTATTTGCTAAAATATGTACCAATAAATTATGGGTTGATAGTAATCCAATGATATTCCATTTAGATAGTATTTATCATAAATTGTTTAATATATGACCATGTTTATCCTTATTAGATGATAAATAGATTGGAGGCACCTCTAATCCAAACTTAATATAAAAACAACCTTTCATTGTTTGTATGTTAATTGTTAACACAAATCAATGTAACAAATGTAATAGTCGATACACTGCTAAAACAAAAATTTAATATTAAAACCTATGTGAAAAATATCTTGAGAATGATAAATAATTATTGAAAACTAGGAGATATATTTAGAATGGTTAAAATAATTTTTCCATGCTTGAAAAATATTTTAGTGATTTTTGGTGTGTGAATAATAGTTTTTGCATGAAATAATTAATTAAAGTATGTTTTTTATGCATGAAAAATATTTTTTTTTACCTAGAATATTTATTAGAGGGGTTTTAGATTATTTTATGTGATTTTATGAATTTTTCTATGTGTTTTGAGTATTTTATTGAATTTCCTATGTGTAGGAATAGTGCTTTTAGATATAAAGGATTAATTTAGGTATCTTAGAAATATGAAGAATTTTTTTTAAGGGCATGGAAAAATCATATGGGAGGTGTAGGAATACTTAGTGAATTTAAATTAATTTTATTAAGTACAAGAAATATTTTCTATAAGAAATAGTCAAATTTTCATGCTAAATAATTAATTTCGAGGCTTAAATGAGATCCAAAAATTATGAAAATTTATGTTAAATCCTCTTTATGAAATTTTGAATTTATTATGGAAATAAATGGGATTTTTGAATAGTATAGAATGGAATTTTCAAAGTACGGACTAAATTGCTTAAAATTAGGGACTCGATTGCATAAAATTAAAAGTATAATAATCCAAAATTAAATTATTTAGGAAATTAAGGGTCCAAAATTAGTCCTAGAAACGAAAAGGGAGGATTAGAAATGAGTTTTTTGCATAAAAGAGGGATTTAGGAAAGAATGGGCTATAGAAAAATTTAGAAACTTGGAGAACCAAAAGTTGTCATTTTCCTCCCAAATTTGGCCGACTAGAGGAAGTTAATGAGACTAACCCACAGTCAAAATTTTGGCTGAAAAAAATCAAGGTGGAAGGGTTAAATAAACAGGTCAATAAATGACTAAAAATTTGGTCAAATGCAAATGAATAATTGGAAAATGAATTAAGGGTTGAGATTCACCCAAATTAAGAATGGAGATTAATTCAAGAAGTCCACAAACTCTCCCTATAAATAGAGTTGCTGGAAAAACTATAAATGCCAAGAAAATAGAAAAACCCAAACAAACCTCTTGCAAAATTTCCACTTAAAAATCACCCAAAAAGTTTTTAATAAATTTTGAGCACCTCTAATCAGTGGAAGAAGCTTGAATTTCAAGTGGGAAGCTGAAATTTTCAAAGGAAAAATTCAAATATCAAATTCAAAAATTTAGAAGAAAAGAGGAGGAAGAGAAATTCTTTAACAACCTAGATTTTTAAGGTTTAATTGGTGCTCAAACAAGTAAGTTAACTTTATCTATACCAAAAACAAGCTTGATTTCATGCTAATTTTGTGTTTAATTGCTTTGATTTGATTAATTGCATAAATTGGAAAAAAGAATTAGGGTTAGGGTTCTTGTTGACCTAATTTGGGGAAAACGAATTTTGACATGAAAATCATGAAATTGGGATTGAAATAGGTTTATTAGATTTGAAATTAAGGATCAAAACTCAAAATTTCTTAGGGTTCTTTCCTTGTTACCATTCGGCCTAAATGCTTAAATTAGGAGTTTTTAATTCTTTCA